TTCAAAAAGTGGAAGTTGCAGCAAAGGCAGACAATCATGCTTAACCTTTTTTGAATTAAACCTGGGGCCAAAAGGTTTGCAAAAAGTGTTATTTTTAACAAAGCACTTCCTATGATGTTTCTTGCTCAACCTGCGTCTCTGTCCTGTTTGTAACGCAGATGCTACTGGTGTATTTATACCCACAGCATTCAGGAATAACAGGATTTCATAAATTATGGCAAGATAAAATAGACAAAGATGGTACCAACTTGCTGATGACAGTGCATGTGTAACACTCTTCCAACTTACTTTTCTGGTATTCCCTTTTGCATAATAAACTGGAATGATGTTTATATATAACATACAATATTATATATTCTGTTTATGTATATTACATAATATAGATAAATATTCTAGGGTTTATATATAAATTTTTGTATATATACATTTTTAATACATGCTTCACCTTGGGTTTTTACCGATTTTTCTTCTCCATTTTGTCACTGTGCTTTTCCACAGTGTAAATGTGAAAACATAAATGCAGCCAGGTTTCCTGTCTCCTCTTAAAATCTTTAAATAGCCTTTTCTTGCTCTTATGCAGCAGATCTTTGCAGAAGTCATTTGGTGTTGAACAGCTCTTGGGGTGCTCTAACAAAGAAATCGGTGACTGTAACAGCTTCTATTGAACCTGGTACTGTGTTTTGGCAAATGCACCTCCTTTTCTTTTGCATCTGTGAGTAAAAGGCACTTTGAGGAGGGGGAGAACATGTCTGGTTTTCACAGTCAGGCAGGCTATGGAGTCATTTTGTTGGGGTTTTTTTTTTTTTGCCTAACCATTTTTCCCGAGGTCTGCTTTAGGGGTGGCTGTTTATGTAAAGCGTAGTGTTTCCTCGCACTTCATTTTCAGACCTTATGTAGATGAAATGCTTGTGGTCACTGTCACTGGTTCACCACATGAAGGATGCCTAACAGCTTGGGTGCTGTGTTGCCCGTGCAAGGAGCTCATCTAGGAAACTCTTGGAAAATCTGTACTGTTTAAAACAAACCAACAAAATTCTAGCAATATCTTTTACATCACTGTAGCCATATGTGGCATGTGCACGCCTTCCCTTCCCCTTGGTCCCTTGTGTACATATAGTATGCATTTCAGTGAGTGCTTATGGAGTCTATGAACTCAGATTTTCTTTGACTTTCCCCTACTTGTAATCTAAGAAGGCAAGAATTGTTTCTATGCAGCTTATGGAGGTTGGGGGTTGTGTTTAGTTTTAACACAGCAAAAAAAAAGCTTTCTATTCTCACTGTTTGCAAGGCATCTGAGAGAAATGCGAATCCTTTCCCCCAAGAAACTTATGTACACAACATACTATACCAAGTGGTTTATATAGCCAAGGGTTGCAGGATGTACCTGTCTGTAGCAGGTTATTGAGTGAAATTCAGCAGTTCTGGAACTGATGCAGGTTGTTTCCAGCCTGTACCAAGACTAAGAGATTTTGCAGACCATTAATTTAACGCCTCTAATTAGCTGGAAATTTCAGAGGTACTTTAGAATTGCCTCTTAGGCACCCTTGGAAATACAGGTTAACTTCATTATGCTTTTTATGTTGGTATCTAGTCTGTACTTCTGGATTGATCTTCTCATGATGAAAGTGTTAAGCTGTAGTAGTAATTGCTATGCATCTTTGATAGGAATCATGCAACATGGATCAAATAGTATAACTCGGTTTAAATAATTCAGAATATATTCAGCAATCTACGAATCACAGACTGGTTTGGGTTGGAAGGGACCTTAAAGATCATCTAGTTCCTGCCATGGGCAGGGACATCTTAAGGAATGCATGCTTAGTTCTGCTTGGGCTGTCTGTCTTGTCCTGCTTATCTTCTGTTAGAAGTATAGTTCTCATAGGCTTAAATCCTGCACTAATGTGCCTCGCTCCTAAACAGGACTGCCTGATATAATTTGAGTTATCCTCTTTTGGCCTGAAAGAGGTTAATTAAGGGAACAATTAGTAAAGCTCATTAAAACTGCATTTAGGTTCAGTGTAATAAAAATGAGCTTCCTGTGACAAGATGATTCAGAAATCATGCTTTTGTGCTTTCTCACTGACACAGTTCCCCTGTGTAAGTGCATGTATGCTGACTTGAGGCTGTGTCTTGGGCTGTGCCATTGTCACTGTTTGCATTACTGTGGTGGTTTTGGTAGAGACTGGCACCTTCTCACCCCTGAGGGCAGGGAGGAATTCTGCAGGAATTTACAATCTATTTTACATTGCATTTCCATTTCTTGGGTCCCAGGTTTTTACAGCAGTAAAAGCATAAATCACATAAATTACTCCCATCTTGGCTTTTCAGGCAGTGTCAATACTGGAAGCTCTGAGCACCCTTGCATATATCCACACCGATTTTTCTGGGGCTGGTTCCTTACAAAATGGCTATGTATGTGCAAGCAAGCATAATCTGTGCAAGCTAGTTGTATGTCCTGCTTCAGTGGATTGGGAAGCCTGTCTTTCTAAAAATGAAATCACAGCAGGCAGCAAATTGTTTGCTTGTGTAGTCAGCCCAGCCCAGCCTTGCTGTTTCTCTTCGTTCCAGTCTGAGATTGTGGGTAAGTCACATGCCTCAATCGGATAGCTTAGGGGAGGCTCTCAAAGGAAAAGCAGTGGTAGATGGGCCTTTTCAGCACGTTTACTGGGTTAGTTTACACTTCATGTTTTGGGTTGACTCATGGTTTTGAAAAAGTAACAGATTTTCTTAAGATTGCCCTTACACACAGACTGAGGGGACTGTCTCACAGTGTTTCGAGTGCAGGTATCACTTTCTCATCTAACAGTGTTACAGCATCAGAGTATTGTAGAGTTCAGGAATTAGTTGCACTATTACCTGGAAGCAGTAACATGTAGATGTGGATCTTGCATTACTGGGTCCTTCTGCATAGTAAGACCTTAGTGGCAGTGGGATAAAGCTGCTTCTGTGAAGCTGCAGTGGGGATCTTCTGGCCTCAACAGTGCTGTAAAGCTGCCCGAGGGCTCTGTGCAGTCAGGCCTGTTGAGATCAGCAGCAGGTTGGGATTGCACTGAACACTGTTAAACAAGGACTGATTTGTCCTTGACTCAGATGTTGAAAAATGCTGAGCACCAGGTGTTACAGCAGAGAATTCCTGTTGCAGAATTTGTTACGGCATAGAATTGCTCTGTTGAAAGCAAGCTCAGCTTTTCCCCAGCAAGGGCTTGAGAAATGATGAAACTTTGCTCATACTGGTATGGAGCCTCAGTCCATGTGATGCTTATTGCAAATTTATATATTCTCTACTCTTTTCGTTAAGTAAATCCATGTTACAGTATGAAAGCTTAAAATCCAGATAGTGGTTCGACAGCCTTCTTTCAGGTTCATCTCAGTAAGCTGCGTGCCTGCTGCTGGCAGACACTGCGAGGCACAGACACTGCTGTTTGGAATTGTGCGTTTGTATTGAGTCTGCAGGGACCCGTGTTTAGAAGGGTTAGATAAACACAATTAGGCTGCATTGCCAGCAATGATGTTCTTATTTAATGCATTAATGAGTGCAGGTGGCAGGACCTCTGAAGTGAATTAAATGCAGTGCAAACTCTTGCTGTATGCAGCAGAGCCATTGTGGGTCCAAGCCGCTGAATGCTGAGCCAGGTCATTTGAGAGATGAGGTGGGAGATGGGAATGAGCTTCCTATGCCTGAATGATAACTTTGCACTCTTCACAGCAGGCTTCTGAGCATTACCTTACAGCAGAACTAGCTTGTGCGGAAGAACCAAGAGCAAGAGTGTGTTTTTTAGAGCTGCAGTAGGATGTTTCTCTGCATTTCTGTCGATAGCAGCATTAAGATGGTCACAAATACAGATTTACTTGTTTACCACCTTTTTCTGTTACCTGGCAGCCTTCAGTAATGCAGCACCATTAGCATTATTGAATCTAGCACAGGCAGTGCTAGAACAACACTGCCTGTGTCCCTTCGTTTCCTTCTATAGGCAAAATGCTGGAAGCCAGCACAATTGCTGTGCTCTGCTGGCCTTTCCCACGGTGAAACCTGGTTTTTATTTCCTGCTTCTTTAACCTTAGTATCAATGAAGTGATCCCTGGAAAGCTTGTATTGATTGCACATGATTGTCTAATTAAAGTGCAATAAGAAGAATTGCAGAGCACTCGCTCTTACAGCCCTGTGCCTATTGTAGCTGCTATAAATTAGAAAGCTTTCTGTTCAAATATGGAAAATGTCAGTGCTTATTTCCTTTTGAATTTCCCAGTATCTCCTGAAGGCCACACTTGGAAATGTGTGATTTGTTTTTCCCTAAATAACAGTTAGAAAGAAGTGTTACTTAGAAGAGAAATGCGGCCCTATAGGCTTGCAGGGGCTCTGTTCTGACCCTGCTAGCTATAACCCATGTTGTCTAAAGGGAGGCACTCCTAAATGAATGTATTTTAATCTGAAACCTGCTAGATGATCCTTTAGCATGATGTGCAGAGATATAAATGGGTATTAGTTATACAATATGTAGTGGCCAGTCTTTAAATAGTGCTGCCTGGTCTTACCTGGAGGCTGTTTGGTGCTCTGTCTGGATTTTTATGGCTCTGGTACTCAAATGTTGCTTGTGGTTTAATACTTTCTAGTAACTTTTATCTTTGAGTTATGTGCAGGGAGCTTTAATAGATGAATCCTAGTCCTTGGTATAGCAGGAACCCAAGTTTGTCACTATAGTTCTGCATGTTGCTTTGTTGTTCATTGAATACCTGGCCTTGGGGAAATCACTTAACTTACTCAAACCTTCAGCTTGCATCTAATCACTACGTGATACATGACACTATGATACAGTTACAGAGATTTATGAATGATCAGTGATTCTGTCCAGGGCACTGAGCAGAAAGATGTTATAGAGAATGGTGGACTTCTGTGCTATGAATGATTTAATGAATTAATGATTCACCAGTTGCATACAAAACCACTTAGATATGTTCATTATCATGTATGAAATTGACTTTTCCCTTTCCTTCTGTTTCAGATGTACTTTCCGATTTCCTAGCACGGTTATAAAGATCCAGTTCACATCTTTATACCATAAAGAGGAAGCAAAAGAGGAAGCATCATCACCTCCCCTTCGGCCACTTTACCCTCAAATATCGCCTCTGAAGATCCACATCCCGGAGCCGGATCTCCGGAGTGTGGTCAGTCCCCTCCCATCCCCCACAGGCACTATCAGGTAAGATGTTAACTATCCAAAGTGTGTTCTCTGTCATCACTCTGTCAGCCCTCTTTTGTTTGGTATACTTGGGGCATGAAACGCCCCATTAAAAATAGCAAGTTAAATATCTGCTCTTCAGAATGATGGAAGACTGCTAAAAACTGTGTGATGGTGGCTTGAAGTAGGGCACAAGGGTTTTGTTTAAGAGCTTTCAGGGTTCAGTGTTAGTTTCACACTATAGAGTTACTAGTCTATCTTTGGCAATGGAATTAGAAATATCTATCAAGAGCTACCTATATGCCTGGAGAAGAGAAAGCAGGCAAATACTTTCTATGTTAGGACCGCCTGTTTTATTTTTATCTCAGTAATATTCTGTTGTTGCTGGGTGGTGCTGGTGTTATCTGAAGTTAGGGACAAGAGTGGTCATTGGCACGTGGTTTCCTGGGAATAGAAGGAAATGGGGGTAGGATGCTGACCATGTACTGAGGGGCTGTAGCAATCTGAATGTACATCTGTGTGAGCATCCTGTTTTGTAAATTATCTGATTCGTGAATGTGCAGTAGAAACAACCTGACCATTGAGTTACTGTCTGGACTATTTTCTCTTTCTTTCTCAGCAAAAAATTGATGTTACAGAGTTGCAGTTTGATCTCTTCTAACATTAAAGCTGCTACTTGAAGTGTAATACATTTTTATAAAGTAAAGTAGACTCATAGTATAGGATGATGCATTAGAGTTTTAAAACATGTGGGCCTCAGAATAGCAAGAGTGTACCTGGTAATACTAATAGCCTTTGTTTTGTTTTCTTGTCTGGACATCTGTAAAAAGATATAATACACAAACATCTTCTGACAGCACTAATTCGGTGAATAGTATTCAAATTTATGTGGCTGAAAACGACTTCAGTGTCACAATGAAGCCAGTTTGGGTTTGCATAGATCTGCAGGCACTTGCTTGTTTGGGTTTTTCCGCCCGTCTTGCAGAGCTGCACAGATGTGCAGTGCAGATATTCTAGAAAGAGGGGGCTGGAGGTAGCTGTGGTTTTAGTCCTCTGTTCAGGCACTGCTTTTAGTTTATATTTAACCTTCTCTTTTTAGATGAAGCTTGTTGCTGGGAGGGGAGGGGGATGGTTTCTTTGCCAACATATGGTAGTTAGTTTCCATTCAGTCATCTTGCGCAAAGCAGCACAGTGTGGTTTCTGTTACTCACAGAGGCTGTATCTTTTGACTCTGGCATATGCCTGCAACTGATATTTGACTCCCCGAGAATGTTTCTTTTGCATAAGGAGAAAGTGGAAATGGTAGTGTTGAATTGTGCTCAGCCCCTAACGGAGTGTTTACTAAGCATGATTAATGATTGCATCCGTTTGTCTTGAGCAGAAGCTAATCCAGCCAAGTCTTCAGAAAACCTCAAAAGACATCTGAGGTTTCACTTGCCAAACCCCTTTCATTTCCGAGTTCCTCTTGCAGAGGAGGGGCTGACACATTTGTAAACATCCCTGCTCAGCCCCTTCAACCTTCCCCTCTCCCCCAGCAGGGTCTTGCAGCTTTCTTCTACCCTGTGGGCCAGGCATTGGGAAGCGATTTGGGCGTTTCTGCCCGAGAAAGAATATGCTCTCCAGGAAGCATGTAGCTATGCTTTCTGGCTTTCAGGGCAGCTCTCTGCCCTCTTGGTGGCTTTGCAGTGGTGGGTGAGGCTGGCACAGTGCCCTCTCCCCCTTCCCAAGGGAAGGGCTGGGCGAGCTGGCGGGGGGGGCTCAGTATGGGACCCATACCCCCATGGCTGGCTTTGGGAGGAGGCTTCATGAGCTGGGCTCTCCTCCCTCTCCCCCTTCTAGTATTTACTTTCCTAATTTGGTGCGTTTGCCTTGCTCCTCCCTGATTGGCCCATGGAAAATTATTGCAGTTTGGAAATCCTGGGCAGGGTGAAATTTCCTTTTTGGAAAGCTTCTCCTGGCCCCTTTTCCTGCCTCCGCCCCAGTGTGGGGCAGGGGCTGTACCTGCCTTCCCGCTGCCAGCTCCAGCCCTGCCCTCCTGACCCCCAGCCCTGCTCTGCTCTGCCTCCCTGTTTACATTGCAGCTTGCTGCTCTGCAGGTTCCCCCCCTGCAAGCTTCTGGGGGGGGGGGGGGGGGGGGGGGGGGGGGCATAGGAGGGTGTGGTCCAGCCTATTTATTTTCCCTCTGCAAAGTGCACCGCCTAGAGAGGGAATGAGGTTTAGTTAAACAAAACCAAGCAGGCCACCCTCAGCAGCTTTGCAAAGCAAGATTCCTACTTACTCCTAGGGAGAAATGCGTCCACTGTTTTCTTAGCTAGGTGTTTCCTCTGCAGGAGGGGCCGTTTGTAGATGTGGTTTGAATGCTGTTGTACAGCTTTAAGGGAAAATGTTGGCTGGCAGCATGCTGTGAGGCTTACACGCAGGCATGGCTTATTTCTTCCTGCTTTGAGTTCAAAATTCCTTTTAAAAAAAGTCAGACTTGCATGTTCCAAAAAGGAAGAGGCCACTGTGGTTGTAAGAAATTGGTAGAAGCAGCCTGCCATTTTACACACCGTAAGAAAGGGCAGAGTAGCACCAAATGTCAGTAGATTCAAGGCATTGAAAAGCTGTGTGAAAACCATGCGTACTTTGGTTAAATTCGGCTCTGCCTGCTGGGACATATAAATGATTCACAATTTGAGGAGTTAAGGGAACAATCTTTTGATAGATGGCTTTAAGCTTCTGCAGCTTGCATGTGAAGGATCCTCTCTGAGTGACACTGATGACAAGAAGTTCCTCACCTATGCTACCTTGCTTTGCCAGGTTTTGCTGTAAGCCCACACTATCAACTTGAATGTGACTATATGTGTTGCAGTTTAGTCCCCAGTGTGGCTGGTGCTTGGATTATAAAGAGATCCACAGAGACAAGGTGTGATGTAGGAGCTTATTCCTGGTCTCAAAGTCATGCTGAGTTGGAGTTTAGATTTAAAGTGTTTAGTTTGCCTTTTATTATCTTCCAATTGGTGTTAATGACCCTGTAGTCGTAACCTAACTCAGTTTTCCACATAGCATCTCTCTCCAGTGCTGCCTCTCAGGGCTGGGGTTTTTTCCTGCTTATGAAATAATTTCTCCGTGCGTGCTTCCCTATTCTAAACAGCAGTTATGTTCTCACAGATATCTATATCTATAGATATAGATATTTAAAAAGCTACAATGAAGAAATACTAAATGCTATACTATGGAGGTAGGTATCATTTTTCATATTTTACAGCTGCTACTTCTGGCTTACCTCTGTACCAGAATGACTGTGGGCTTGAACACTTTGTCTTGTACTTGTTTGTTTTTCTGGAAGGGCATGGATAGTTAGCTCACATACAGCCTTTATCAGTAAAAGAAGTAGTCCTAACATGTAGGAGGAAGAGCCATTAGAGCCCTGTGAGAACCACTGCTTGAGAAGTGTCTGGTGAGGTTCTTTGCTAATAGCTACACTGGTACATGTTTGTGTGTGCACCCAAATTTGTATTTTAATTGTTAGTACTTAATGTGCCTGCCCATGTTCAACCATTACTGGAAGGGTGATATAGAGTGTACGATGAAATTAATGGTATGAATAATGAAAGTTCACCTGGCATCCTTCTGCTCTTTTGTCTTACAAGCTTGATTAGTAAACCAGAAGATGTGAGCTGAATTGCCATGGTTTCATAAGCTATATTGTTTAAACCTTATTTCATTTTTTCCTTACTTCCACTAAGCAAAATTAGTTCAGTAATGTATTGCATGCTCTGATAGTGGATTACTTCGTGCTAACTGCAGTTATATTGGCTTAGTCCCCAACTTGTTTGGTGGCCTTTAACAGGTCATTTAAATTCATTGCCTGATTTTTATGCATCTATAGTGTAATTACTATTTTCCAAGAGTGTGTGGTAGATAAATTATGTATTGAGCTTTTATTCTGTAAAGCATGACAGAAGACTGTGTGCCTGTGTGTGAGCCATGTTATGGTAGCTGTGCAAATGCTGGCTGTTTTGATTCAGACTTGGCTTGGGAAAAGGGAGTGCTTTTTAATAGGCTCTAGGACAGCTGTACAGCAGTGCTTCAGAACACTTGAGATTTAATCTGAATTTGCACATTTCCTTTGAAGGTATGTAGTGGGAAGCTGAATGAACCCTGACTTCAGTGGATGCATTCACTCACTGGAACAGGAGGCATAGGTATTGCCAGCTCAGTTTCATTCAGGCTTTCCTTCTTCCTATAGCACTATTAGCCATTTAACTGCAAAGCCCATGAAGAGCTCCAAGGCAGGTTTTTTGCAGGCTCTTTTGCATTGTCTGGGTTATACATTACTTCCTGCATTCGGTCAGAATACACAGCTTGGGTAACTCCCACAATTGGACAGCCCAGTGATTATTTTTAATCACCCTTGTCTCCAAACCACAAGCCAACTAAGTGTGATGCATATACATCATGTAAGAAAGAGCAGCAATCTATACTGGGCTTGGGAGTTCCTACGCATGTTTATTTCAGATAATGGACCATGTGCTAGAGGAGATGTGCCAAGCCATGTGCTGAAGGAAGAGTTGCAGATGTCACCAGCTACACAAGCACTTCCCCTGACCAGTATAAACTGTTCACTGAATCCACGGTCAGAGTGAACTCACTTCCTTTTGAAGAGAGGAACCACTGGAGCACAGACAAGTAACAAGAGATTCAACTTCTGCAGATAGTTAGCTTTCCCTCACCATGGCTTGTTTGACAGCTTTGGGTTTGCTTCAGCGTTAAGCAGGCAGGGTAGCACTCAGATTTCTCCTTTCACATCAAAATCCAGCTTGGTTTGGCAGTCTTACCACTTGTGATTGTTTCTGAAACTTGTCTGAAACACGCAACGTGCAAGGACTTGCCTTTCTTTGAGTTACAATTTTGGGGCTAGGCCGGGGAAGGGAAGAGCAGCAGAGAATTCTCACCCATTACTGCTGATTGGTGTGTCGTGGAAATGCTTGTTTTGCAAGCTGAAGTGCTGTACTTTGACCTGATTCTTGCTTATTGCA